ATAATAATAATATGACATTCCTAATATGTTGTAGAAGAACACGCTTGAGTTGATATCCTTGGACAGTACTTCTCAGCATAGCGTTTAGTTAAAGGAATCTTGCGCGGAAAATTCTTGCACTCTTTCCTAACATGAATATGTCAGTTGTGATCACTGGAAATAGCACACAAACGTTATGGACCATCGAAGGACCAGGAGGCAGAGCCAGGCGAGGCATGGAAAGAAGACGGCGTTTGGCCGGCTACGTACCAGGCGACGCAATGAGAGAATCGGGTTAAAGCGCGCGATTTCGGAGAGTGGAGACAAATCGATCGATAGAATAGGATGGAGTAGAAGTGTAAGATGTGAATGCAACGAAGCAGAAGGCCAGAAAGAGCTTCTAGTGAAGGCACTCCAAGAACCAAGTGGAAGCATCCCCGTCGCCAGCATTCGTGAAAGACGTCCGTGGGCAATTCGAACGCGTAGCAGCCTTTTCGAGTTTTCGAATTTCTAATCAAAACGAAAGCAATACTTCAGTTCTTTTCACTATTATCGTGGATAATGAGTCTCAAGCCAGTGATTTATGGCTGAAATAGAATCATGATTTTTCCGCGCAAGATTCCTTTAATTATGATAGTTTCACATTTGACTTCAGTTTAACGTTTAATTCCAGGGAACCCAATATGCCAGTATTTCGCGATTTCAAGCTCAAGAAAAATCACAACATAAATCGTCGCCAAACAGGTTTATGTGCAACTGAGCTTTGCCCACAAGGAACGCAGTGCGACTCGAATACAGGTGAGTCGCGATTTTTTGATGCGTTTGGACGCCATCATTTGGAACATTGGGCGTTGCCGGTGCTGACCGTCTGCGCTTACTTGCATCCGCGAGGTCACTACAACTCTGCCTCCCTTTGTTCTCAGAATATCTTTGAGCAAAGAGAAACTGTACCTTACTTCCCGTGCTGGTACTGGCTCTTAGTTGTGCTCAGAAATATCTGCCCATGTCCTTGTCCACTGTTTTGCAATGCTTCTCCCCGTGTCCAAACCCTTAGCGAGAGAACAGAGACAAGTCGCAGTGATCGCGTGCATGTAGGAGAGCGCAAGCACCACGACACCGCCATAGCGGCGGCACGGTCCCCGATGTTGGGTCGTCTGGTGGGTCAAACGGCTTGGTTTTACGATATTGTACATAATATTACATTAAGGAATTTGTCGACCTTTTCGAACCCCACCTCCATCAACCGATCAATGCCAAGTGATAGGTTGCCCTTTAGGAATGCAGTGTGATTCTAATTCAGGTGCGTTAAGACATGACTTTGCCTTGCTATGGTGACAGGGTTTCATACACACTTCTGCTTGGTCAAGCTAGGGTAACCTGTGGCACGAGGTTATATTTATATATCTATAATGTTTTAATGTCTTTTTTGTAAGCATGTGTACATTTAAGTGCGTGCTACCCGATCCAAACCAATAATCCCCACTATTCCGCCTATTTAATCAAGTTCAGCTTTGTAGAAGCTTTTGAAAAGGCTGATCACCAAGATACGATTGCACCACTGACGTCACAGGATCTATATACAAACATATGTGAGTGATGCTTAGGTACCTAATCACCACTTGGCCGTAATGGACCACCGACAGTAATCACCAAGGTACATGTAAAAGAGCGCACCGCGTTAACGGCGATGCCTCATTTTTACACTTAATCACACTCTTATGATACCACTTGGCATGCATGCTGTATCAAGATATAGTGATATAGTGATTAATTAACTAATTGACAAATCAACTATTTAAGTGATTAATCTGAATTAGTTAATTGAATTGACTAATTTAATTACTTAAAAAGAAATTTTATTTGAGGACGGATTTAGCGATGAGAAGGCAGCTCATTAGAAATTAAGGTGAGTTGGCCAATGGTACAAGGATGAAGGCGAAACAGTGAGAATCGGCTCAAAATGCAAAAAATTCAGCCCCTTCCTTGCCCATTGATTTCCGCACTGATGCGACTTTCATCGGTGCTGCCTTCTTACGCCATCTGCTAAATGACTAAAGACCTAGACGGCGAGAGGGTGGGCGTGCTGCGGCGCTTGGGACGCGAGGACGGCCATTCTACAGGGGGGGGGGGCAAAAAAAGAGTCACTTTGCCCATGGCGCATATCATCAAACTTTTCGTCGCAAAGGATGCCGCTGTTATTGGGAGTTATACGGCGAAATATTCCTTAGATGTCCCCCCATAAGCAGAATCAGGCCCACCTTCGCTGCGTTCACCGTCTTCAGAATATGACGTCATCTCTTATCACAGCACCTGGCAGCCAAAGGCGCGGAAGCCCACTTACTCCACTTGGTAAGCATCGATAGAAACTCATCAGGGCAATGACTTTCGATATACGATGCAAAATTCTGGCCCGCGAAGATGACATCGGTGCTAGAAAAATGTTAGAAGCGTTTTATATCCGCGTGCAAAATCCAAAGCTGAACAACCGAAATGAGTGCATGGCCATTACAAATGAATTTCTGCCTTTCATTCCTCTATGTGGATTGTGAGAAACGCGCGTACCGCTGACGTCCTCGCGCGAGGCTGGATTGTGAGACAACGCGCGTACCGTTGACGTCCTCACGCGAGGGTGTCTCATTTTTCATATTTGAGAATTGGCTGGCTGCGTGACGCTGGTGGAGTAGCAGTAAGGTCAGTTTCTTCGTTGGAATCTTTCTCTATTTGTATCCTGAGAAATATGACGGGGATTTGACCGGATTGATTACGAGCTAAGAACTACGAACCAACTTCAGGTCCTGAAGACGACGAATTGTTCGAAACGTCGACCGAATAAATCTGTTCCACCGTAACAACCTGTATGGCACAGCAACAACAACACGGAATATCAACATGCCCAGGTTTCAAGAAGACCGAACATGGAATCTACTGAGAAGTGTAAATAATTCTATTTGAATGTGAGTGAGAGTGACTTTTTTTGTCCCCTCCCCCGTAGATCGCCGGTAGCACATGCGCTGCGAATTTCCTGTTGAAACGCACCCTTAAGGGTCCGCCGTCTCTCCACTTGGTAGGTCCTTTCTTCGCTCCAACTTTATCGTGGAATCGTCCTTCAAATGTGCCTCTGTTGAGTGAGTTGGAATAAAAATCATGATTATGTTTTCATCAAAAGTAAAAGATACAAGAATAAAAAAAGAGTAAACCATGGTATCATCAGTCCTCACCTCATTTAAGTAGCATTACATAGATACTCCGTTGTAAATTCTCCTGATGCTGATCCATGACCACGATCAGGCACAGAATGAGCTATGTTTGGAAGGCAGAATTCTTTATTCGATTCCTAAAAAATTCAAACCCATGGGCTGTAAGCAATCCATGGACGGGGACAAGATGTCACTATTTATCATAAACAATATTTGTGGAAGCCATACTTCCGGAGGAACTTCTGTTGAGTGACAGATAGGAGAAATTAATTAGACACAGCTATTTGCCAAACGCAGGCTTCTGAATATTTTCGGCTTCAGGGATATGTAGACCGTTCCGACCCCCGCCTCCTGCAGCGTCGGATCCCTGTGATGGAGTGCTCTGTTCTCTTGGAACACAATGCGACTCAAACACTGGTAGGGTTTCAGACAGGCCACAGTTTAGGTTTTGAATAATATTGTGACAACTTTTATTCCCTTCTTGTCGATTTTCTTTTTCTTGCCTGTGCCCTGCTATGCTTCACATATTTCAGTATGAGTTTACGCATTTGTATTTAGTTTTTTGGTAGGAGTATGTCGTCCATTTCGTCCAACGCCTGGCACTACGGAACGATGCCAAGGTGTCCTTTGCC